AATTCCCACCCCCTAAGAGTGAGCCTATTATATGCCCCACCCTGTATTTAATGTTCTCTTTTTTTTTGAATTTGTTTTTTGTCTTACACTTTTATTGATTCTATTTAAAATTACCTTGTTGAATCATGCGATGCCAGACGTGGTGGCAATACATCCAGACAACGTTGAAAGTACTTTGTGTGCCGCTTCGTATTGACATTCGCATGAATATTGTTCATGTTTGCATGGTAATTGGCCATACTATTGTTATCCGCATTACACACTTCAGTTGACATCGTCAGCACACTAATCCATTCAATTAATTTATACATAAATACAAAAACGAAGTGAATTATTCGTTCTTTTTTCGGCTTGTTTGTTTGTTTCAATTCGAATACAACAATACGTCACAATGGATGAATGATTAATATATGCATACACTTAAGCGTGAGACTTTCGTCTTGCAAACTCGATCAAATCAATCGAAAATCTCCTTGAAATGGTTTTCGATCGGTTATTTAATGAAAATTAAATTGATGCATTGATGTGTGGACAGACTAAGCAATGATGCACTCATTAATTTGCGCGTACACAACACACACACATACGACGGATATTTTTTTTGGCGTACAAAAATGAATTGATTTTGTTTTACACATAAGATGCGATATTCGGTTGATTCACAACTAACTTACTTGTGCACATTGTTTCTGGTTTTATATATGTGCTCAGTTATAGTAACGGTACCATTATATGATGAAACCGAAACAAATAAAAAGAAATAAACAAATAAATAAAACCAACGTTTCTTTCTTTGTGGTTTTGTTGTTTTTCCAAACGGAATGAATAAAAAAAAAGTGATTCTGCTCAAAACAAATATTCACACACACTAAATACGAATGACAGGCGAAGAAGTGTAGACTGTATGAATAATAATGTAAAATCAGCAATGACACATGAGAAAGGCGAGCGAGCGAGAGCACCGTATGTGAACACTTTCCAAATGTCATGACATTAAACGCATTCATTGTCATGTATTGAGGTAAAGAACCTTATAGTAAACTCTGTTTCTCTCTCTCCGTTTTAGTTTCTTCGTTGGTTTTATTTTAACCGTTCGTCGCTTATATTATTCACGCAATCTGACTGACGTCAATGATGAGGACAAATTGTCCAAATTTCATCAGAGCGCTTATCGGTAATGTATGCAAAAGATTTTGTGATTCATTTGAATCTTCTGCTGATGTCAAATGACCTTCACGCAATTCTCTTTTCCTATCTCTTTGTCTTTGTTGAGGTTCATCAGAAATCAGACATTGACCATAAAATCATATAACAATTCGTCATTTTGTATACATTTGAAACTTTAAATTTTGAAGAACAATGAATTGAAACGATGAATCAGTGCATCTGATTTTTTTTTGTCCGAATGCTTATATATTGAAATATGTCTATAAAATTACCAACCGGTTTTTACGGACCCACAATAAAAGTGAAACTGTTTGCAATATCAGTACCGGTCTTCTATTTTCAAAAAGGTAACCATCATAAGACAATCAAAAGTACTTGATTTGCCACTCTAATAGTTCAACAGTTTGCAAGAATGCCGTTGGACAAAAAAAGAACGTCGACCCAAACACAATACAGTTCTTCAGATGCCAAAATTTCAAAGATTTACGAGGCAATGCAATCAAATCAGCATACGAGGGTCCACTCAAAGATCTTCTAATTTAAAGTAAACCGAAATCAGTAAAGAAATTGTTTTATCAAATTTTACCAATGAGTAGTAATGAATTAGAGAACAATTCAAGTGCTTTTGGCTAAATATGAAAGAGGAAAAAGAATTAATTCTATACCAAATAAAAATGGCACAGTTTAAACGCTAATCGAAGAGGCTGCCAAACATGTTGAATTCAGCGAAGATGGACACATCAATTTAAGAAATTTAAAAAAAACAACAGCCACAACAAACGCAATGAATGAGCCGATCTATAAAAAAACATACAAAACACACAAATCGCCTGTAATTGAAGGTTCGAAAAGAAACCCACACCTACACATACATACTGTGCATGCTAAAAATGAATGGAGGAGAATTAAGAGGCGAATAAATTTGTAAAAATATTTATTACGCTGCGCTTACATTTATTTCTTTACTGATGTTCACTTGTTCTCAACATAAAAAAGAGAGCCGAATACCTTATCTCTCCTTTTATTTTTAACAAATTAGAATATTCTTAACATTCTTTATTTAAAGAGAAAGCATTCATTCAAGCACTCGATGCCGCCACTTGAATTCCAAAATTAAATACTCAAGTCCGTCCGATTGCATCGATGATTGATGATGAACGGTAAAAAATGTATGTCAATGTTTTCATTTGATTGCTTTCGTTTGTGTACAGACTACGCTGGTCGCATATCCACACCATTACAATTGTAATTACTATGTCGATTGCGTAGCAATGCAAAGAAGTCAACAGCAAAAGAAGTTATTCGAACATACAAACATTAACATAAAAGCAGCCAAGAAAGAGTAACAGTCAACATAAAAATTGCGTTCGTAGATGTAGATGTGTGTGTGTGTGTGCATGAGACCGTAGTATCTAGCTTAATATCGTTAGCTTTGCGTGTGTAGTGAACAGTTTGAATTGTTTCTCGTGAGATCGTATCGAAACGATGATGACGGTAGCAAGAGAGTGTGAATAGTTTTGCTTAAGTTAATTTTTGTGTCTCTTGCGTTAGTGTATTGTGTGCGGGTATCCCAATGCTTCATCGTAGTTTTTTTTTCTCTTCATCGTCTACTCTCTGTTGAAAACACGAAATATAAAAATTGCTTGTCTTTTATGTGACCACCAACACGTTTTGTTTCACAGTCTCAACGATTGCCTCGAAACGATCGCGCGCACAGGTAATGTTCAAGCAACACGTTCACTTTTTCTTTCGATTCAATTCGACGTGAAGAAGAAGAAAAAAATATCGAAAGTATTTTTCGTTTGTGTAATCAATTGCAGACATTTTTAAGACATCATCGATTAAAAGACATCTTTGGCTCGTCTGTTCAGTTCAAGTGTCAGTGAAATTAAATGAAAAGATTTTATTGAAGAATGGCCGATGCCAAACGGACATTGTGTGTGTGTTGTTGTGTTTTTTTTTGCATGAATTCTTGTTCGCCTACTTAACCACAACGTTGTTTACGTAAATTTCAAACATCCGTGAACTTTTTTTCTAGATATACGTACACCACAGTGAAAAAATCATCATTGCTAAAGATTTTCTATGCGAAGTGTAATGCATGTATTCATAATAACAATTACAGCAAAGAAACACACAAAAACTTAATTACGCCAAAATTGTTCGTTTTTTGTCGAACATTAAAATTTGTTTGATTTTTGGTGTAAAATTGAATGTTCTTCTTCTCTTTTTTTTTGCAGCCCTGATGTCATTCGACAATTGTAACGATATCGTCGATTCTTTTTATTCAATCTCGTAGAAGTAAATGCTGTTTGGTTATCGTATGCACATGCATCGACCGAAGAAATGCTGCGATTCACCGATGTAACCAAACGCTCATTAAATCTTTCGTATTTTATTGTGAAGGTGCTTTTGATCGTGCTACAGCTCTCTCATTTAACATTTGGTGGTAAAAATCAACATTTTATTTTATTGTTGTTATTTTCAACACAGTCATTTGTGTGAATAAATGTTTTCGTGCATAAATTTGTGTGAGTTGTAGTCTTTTGACGGTGAATACAAATCTTTGATGTGATCGACCTTTCCAAATGACAAAAAATAGCGAAAAAAATATAGAAGAAACACAATAAAAGAGTAAATAAAGTGAGACAAACAAAAATCAAAGCCAAAAATAGTAGAGAAAAATGCTAAAAAAAACGTCCAGACAAATATCAAGCAAAGCAATAAATTAAATCGTTCACTTTCAAAATCATTAAAAATAATTGAAGAAAAAGAGTTGCGTTGCCAAAACAGGTGATTGGAAAACCGACCAGCGCGACATTGAAATTTATAAGGAGAATATTTTTTTTTCTAAAGCATGGAAAGACAATGGAATGTTTTGCACGTTTTCAATGTGCCCGCTATCTCGGTTTGCCATTTTGAGTTGCACGAAAAATGTATGAGCAAAAACGGTACTTTACAATTAATTGCTACTTCAAACAGCGACTCGAAATTTTGCGGTCATGCTCGTGCAGCACAGTATCTCCCTCTCTATCTATCTTCTTTTGTAATTTGTAGACATATTTTCGGTGATGCTGCTGTTCGCACGAAAACTGCTAAACAACGAAAATGAAGAGAGAGAGAAATGAATCAACACAAATTAGCAGTGTACTTAGAATCAGTGAACATTCATTTATTTATTTCGCCTTTTGTGTTTGCAAATATGATTTTCGATGCAATAATTTAATCGTGTGTATTTGCTCCGAACGGTCATTTTAATTAGTAGTGTCGGGGGATTAATTTATTGTGTTTGCAACAGAACAAAAAGAAGAAAAAAACACACGCGTGTATGCGTAGTAAATATCGTTCAACGTTTTGACGCGATCTCTTTTCATTTTATTATTGTAATTTAAATTGATTTAAATGCGTCCATGCATCTCGATTAGTGCGCTTGTCGCAATTCTTTTTAGTTTTATCGATTAATAATAATAATAAATTCAGAAGAAAAATGAATCGAGATCGACGAAAAAAAGCAACAATTCTAAATGAGATTGTCAATGAGCACTGCATTTTGTGCTGCAATTAAGGTCAGCATTTTCAATATGCTTTGCATTGAATCATTATAAAGACTCTTTTTTTCTTGTGTTCATTGAAATTGCTCGCCTTTGATCAAACTATCCCGTCACCGAGTGCAAAAGTTCTCAACACATTATCATTACGCAAAAATGCATTAAACGAAGAAGAAAAAAACGTCTTTAATCGTGAATTTTATTGGTTTTATAGATGAAATTCTAAGTCAAACGGAGAAACAGCGTTACGATGGATGGTTTAATAACTTGGCGCATCCAAATTGGGGTTCAGTGGGTTTGTATAGACACTTCACAACAATTAAAAACGTTTCAATATTATCACGACTATTTGTTTCGAATTAAAAAATAGCGAGATTGGTATTTGTTTAATTGGAAATTGTTTGAGACAAGGACACTTTCAACATATACACAACATCGTGTGGTCGGAATGTATCCGATTTGATTTAATAATCACGAATTGAAATCACGTCATTTTTTTCATTCATGTTACTTGTCGATCTCTCGATTTCAACTGTCACGATTTTCTTTCTCATACACACACACACTTGGCAAACGCGTGAAATCCTAACTGCTGACAATTCGCATGAGCTGCAGCTGCGGCTGCTGCATTCTTGCATTTAAATAAATACGTGATTGATTTGAATGTTTATTTTGGAATTTATTTGATGTTTAGTTCACGCACTATACTCCTCTCACCTGCTGCAATACAGAGTCGTGTCGTCCGGAGACAGACACAGATAGTAAAAAAGTAATCTTGATCTTAATTAATTGCCTCATTTAATGAGACTGACGGGCTTTTAAGTTATGCGAAGTCCGTTTCGATAGATTTTGAAATTGATTAAGAGTTTAGCGAATACTTTTTTTCTCTCTTGCGGTTACGCTAGTTAATTTGTAAAGTTCATAATAACACTTTTTTACACTCTGAATCTTTTTATGGAGTTTTTGCTTTTTTCTACCCGAAAATTAAACTGTGCCATTTCTTTAATGAACAAACAAACAGACGTGAAATCAATTCATTTTAATTGATCGAAAAGCTTAATTAATTTAATGAGTTTTCATCATTTACAGACAGTCATTTGGTACGAAAAGCACCGGCATCTTATTCGGACGGTGTGTATATGATGAATGGAAATGATCGACCGTCACCAAGATATCTCAGTCAATTGTTTATGCGCGGTTCCGATGGTCTTGCATCGAAGACCAATCGAACCGCTTTGTTTGCATTCTTTGGTCAAGTTGTCACCAATGAAATTGTGATGGCATCCGAATCCGGATGTCCGATTGAAGTGTTTAAAATTGATATTGAAAAATGTGATGAAGCTTATGATACTGAATGTAAAGGTGACAAATATATTCCATTCCATCGTGCCGCCTATGATCGTGAGACGGGACAAAGTCCGAATCAACCGCGTGAACAATTGAATCAGGTTACGTCATGGATAGATGGTAGTTTTGTGTATAGCACATCTGAAACATGGTTGAATGCAATGCGCTCATTTGTCAATGGGACATTGCTCACTGAAAAAGGCGGCACAATGCCTGTTCGGAATACAATGCGGGTACCTTTATTCAATAATCCCATCCCACACCAAATGCGAATGAATGATGCTCAACAATTGTTTTGTAAGTGGTTATATTCTTGTTTTCTCTTTCTCTCTCTCTGTTTAAAGCTAAATTGAATTAAAAAACACTGAATTTACATGTATCTTTTCAGTGCTTGGCGATCCAAGAACAAATCAAAATCCGGCATTGCTATCGTTTGCGATTGTGTTTTTGCGATGGCACAATGTAATTGCACAACGAATCAAAATCCAACATCCGTCATGGAGTGATGAAGATATTTTTCAACGAGCACGACGAATTGTTGTTGCTTCAATGCAAAATATTCTTTTGTACGAATATTTGCCGGCTCTTTTACAAACAAAAGTACCACCGTATGAAGGCTACAATCCTGATATGCATCCGGGCATCAGTCATATGTTTCAAGCGGCCGCATTTCGATTTGGTCATACACTCATTCCGCCTGGCATTTATATGAGAGATTCTGAATGCAATTATCATCTTACCTCAGCCGGCTATCCGGCTTTGCGGTTGTGTTCGACTTGGTGGAACTCGAATGTGAGTGACTTTTCATTTCCTAATTTTTTTTTACATTATCTCGATTAAGCCAATTCGAATGTCACGACAATTTTTAAAAATATTTTCTTTTTTTCAGGATGTTCTAACCGAAATAAAAGTTGAAGACATTCTAATGGGAATGTCATCGCAGATTTGCGAACGAGAAGATTCACTACTCTGTACAGATGTTCGTGATAAATTGTTTGGCCCGATGGAATTTTCGCGTCGTGATTTAGGTTCGCTGAATATAATGCGTGGCCGTGACAATGGCCTACCCGACTACAATTCGGCACGTTTGTCATTTGGTTTACCGGCAAAAACTAGTTGGCATGACATTGCACCGAAATTGTTCGATGAAAGTCCGGGTCTAGAGAGATCTTTGGCTGCCGCCTACGATAATCGGTTAGATAATATTGATGCATACGTCGGTGGAATGCTGGAATCTGATGGAAAACCAGGTGAATTATTTGAACGCGTAATTATGGATCAATTTCTACGATTGCGTGATGCTGATCGATTTTGGTTTGAAAATGAACAAAATGGGTGAGTTTTTCAACATCAAATCGAATAAATTCATTTTATTGAAAAATTTATTTGAAAAAAAAAACGAAAAATTAATAAAAACTTGCAATATTTCAGGATATTCACGAAAGAAGATATTATCGAAATTCGAAAAATCACACTTTGGGGTAATAAACAAAAGTTAATCATGCATAGAAAATTACACTAATATTGACATATATATTCGTAGACATAATCGTAAACAGTACGTCAATTCATCCGGGCGAAGTTCAAAAAGACCTATTCATGTTTAAAGAAAATGATCCGTGTCCACAGCCATTTCAATTGAATGCATCGTCACTTGAGCCGTGCAATAATCTCGGTGGTCATGATTACTTTGATGGTTCCGAAATTGGTTTCACTTTTTCGTGTGTATTTTTGGCATTTGTTCCAATTCTTTGCATCTTGGCTGCTTACGGTGTTGTAAAGTATCAAAATGGTAAACGCCGAAAACTCAAAGTCAAACAAGAAGCACTCAGGTATTTGACACACATGACATTTAAATGTCCAATCCGAAATTCAATGATTTTAAATCTTTTTTCCCATCGGCTTCTATAGATCGGCACACGGCAAGGCTTCAATCGATAAAATGTTGGCACGTGAATGGTTGCATGCAAACTGTAAGAGATTGGTCACTGTTAAATTTGGACCCGAAACCACTATTCACACCGTCGATCGAAAAGGACAAAAGTTGAGATCATTTGATTTGAAAAGTGTCGATGGCATCACCGTGGAAAGAACTGCGGTAATTATTCGAATAGATATCAACATTTTTTTGTGTACTGAAAAGACAATCTAATAATAATGATTGTTTTTTCTTTGCAGGAGAACAGTACGCGAAAGCACTCGTATGTGCTATTACGTCAACAAAACGATCATGATTTGGTGCTGGAATTTGAATCGGTTTCATCGCAAAAAAAGTTCCTAAAAAAATTGGAAGATTTTTTGTCGCTACACAAAAAAGAAATGCAAATAACGGAAATCAACTCAGAGATTATGTTGCCAAATGCGGAAACAAAAGAACGTCGCCAAAAGCGATTGGAATATTTCTTCCGTGAAGCATATGCATTGACCTTTGGATTACGGTACAAATAAATGCCGATTTTAATTATGGAATCGCTTTCGAAATCAATTTAATCGAATCTAATTTTTGTGCCTCCTTTTATTTTCAGTCCTGGTGAACGTCGTCGCTATTCGAATGGCTCAAATGATTATGAGGTGATGACGGTGATGCGAACGAGTTTGTCGAAAGGCGAATTTGCGTCAGCTCTTGGTATGAAGGGTGACGACATGTTTGTACGTAGAATGTTCAATATCGTGGACAAAGATCAAGACGGACGTATTTCCTTCCAAGAGTTCCTGGAAACGGTCGTACTATTTTCGCGCGGCAAAACTGAAGATAAATTGCGTATCATTTTTGATATGTGTGACAATGATCGGAACGGGGTCATTGATAAAGAAGAACTAAGCGAAATGATGCGGTCACTTGTCGAGATAGCCCGAACGGCCAGCATAAAAGATGATCAAGTTAAACAAGTGATTGACGGTATGTTCCAAGATGTTGGCTTGGAGCATAAAAATCATTTAACCTATCAGGATTTCAAGTTAATGATGAAAGAATATAAAGGAGACTTTGTTGCGATTGGTCTTGATTGCAAAGGTGCCAAACAGAATTTCCTCGATACATCAACAAATGTCGCACGAATGACATCGTTCCACATTGAACCAAGCGTAGAAACATACCGTCATTGGTTACTGTTGCGTTGGGATGCATACACAACATTTGTCGAAGAGAATCGCCAAAATATCTTCTATTTAATTGTATTTTATATCGTTACGATTTCGTTATTTGTTGAACGTTTCATTCACTATTCATTTATGTCCGAGCATACCGATTTGCGGCACATCATGGGCGTTGGCATTGCCATCACCAGGGGGTCGGCTGCATCATTGTCATTTTGCTATTCGTTATTACTATTGACAATGTCACGAAATTTTCTCACTAAATTGAAAGAATTTCCGATTCAACAGTTTATACCGCTCGATTCTCATGTTCAATTTCATAAAATTGTCGCATGTACAGCATTATTCTTTTCACTGGTACATACGGTTGGACATTTAGTTAACTTTTACCATGTTTCAACACAATCGATTGAGAATTTACGATGTTTAACACGTGAGGTACATTTTACATCGGATTACAAACCGGATATTTCATTTTGGCTATTTCAAACTATAACAGGTGAGTTTTTGGTGTTGGTTGGACTTTTTTTTATTATGAATTTTGATCAGAAGCTTACGAAATTACCTTTCTTTAAAGATTTCAATTGAACAAAAACTGACTATTCAAGAATAGTGTGTATTATATTTTAAAAAATTCGAATTATTTCTATTCTTGTTCAATTTACCAGGTGTGACAGGAGTGCTTTTGTTCGTAATAATGTGTTTAATATTCATATTTGCGCATCCGATAATTCGCAAGAAAGCGTACAAATTCTTTTGGAATATTCATTCGTTATACGTGTTCCTCTACATATTGTGTATGATTCATGGTCTGGCTCGTTTGACGGGTCCACCGCGTTTTTGGATGTATTTCATTGGTCCGGCGATAATTTATTCACTGGACAAAGCCGTTTCTTTGCGAACCAAATACATGGCACTGGATGTAATTCAAACCGAACTACTGCCATCCGATGTAATCAAAATAAAGTTTTACCGTCCACCAAATTTGAAATATCTCTCTGGCCAATGGGTGCGATTATCGTGCACCGCATTCAGAACACAAGAAATGCACAGTTTCACACTGACATCGGCACCGCATGAAAACTTCTTGAGTTGTCACATCAAAGCACAAGGGCCATGGACATGGAAATTACGAAATTATTTCGATCCATGCAACTACAATCCCGAAGAACAGCCGAAAATTCGTATTGAGGGTCCATTTGGTGGAGGAAATCAAGATTGGTATAAATTTGAAGTGGCTGTCATGGTTGGCGGTGGCATTGGCGTTACGCCGTACGCTTCGATACTCAATGATTTGGTATTTGGAACAAGTACAAATCGATATTCAGGTGTTGCATGTAAAAAAGTCTACTTTTTATGGATTTGCCCGTCACACAAGCATTTCGAGTGGTTCATTGATGTATTGCGCGACGTGGAGAAGAAAGATGTGACCAATGTTTTGGAAATACACATTTTCATTACGCAGTTTTTCCATAAATTTGATTTACGCACAACAATGTTGTACATTTGTGAGAATCATTTTCAACGCTTGTCGAAAACGTCCATGTTTACAGGACTGAAGGCTGTTAATCATTTTGGACGACCGGATATGTCGAGCTTCTTGAAATTCGTCCAACGAAAACATTCATATGTAAGTATACAGTTTTGATTAATTGAAAATTCTAATTTAATGTCATTTCAAATTTACGACATTTTATTGTATTTTTACAGGTATCAAAAATTGGCGTGTTTTCATGTGGACCACGACCACTAACAAAGAGCATCATGTCTGCCTGTGATGAGGTTAACAAAGGCCGAAAGTTACCGTATTTTATTCATCATTTCGAAAACTTTGGCTAAACAACTCGCAACTATGTATAACTTGGCGCACAAGTCGCCAGTGGTTTTAAATTTGTTCTTTTGTAAATAACAAAACTAAAAAAAAAACAATTGTCAAAACCGATTCCATTGAATTAGTTTATTTTTTATACCAATTTATTTATATTGTAAACTCTTTTTGTCTATAGATAGATTAAAAAAGCCTCAAAACTATCAATCAGTAAGAGCCGAGTGTTTTATTTCAAATTCAAAATCAACTCTTGAGTTTACTCATTCAGCTTTCGATTTGGAGCCTTTTTTGGTTATGTTTTGGTCGTCAAATACGGCACGGGATACAGCTGAAACAAATGCCTGTGCTTCTTTGGCTGCTGCTTGAATATAACTAGCAGGCAATAGAAATCCGTAACGACCTCTGTCACGTAGTTCAATCGTGTAGGCATATTTGATGCCAATACTTCTGGCCCAATCTTCAGAATTGCCTGGAGTTGAATAAGACACCAGCCTTTTGTCTATGCCAACGGTATATTTTTGGCTCTTATCTGTTAGCATAAACTAAAGGCAATTTGAAGTTAGAAGTCTTTGGCATTGACCGTTTATAATAAGGACCTTGGCAGCTTCAAAATGACCTAAATAAATATTGTCTTTAAAATAGTATTAATTTCGCTGAGAAATGCATTACCATCTTCGGCCGCCCAATGTGATTCATTCCGTGATTATATTGAGCACTTAGATTTGCTCCCATGCTAATAAGTTGGGCAATTGCAGGTGCATTACCTAAAAAAAGAAAGATTTACATTTATGACTAAATAAAAATCTGGTAAAATCATTTCCAGCAGAGACAAAAAGCTGTTGATCTGCAATACAGATAAAAAAGAAAAAAAAATAATTTTTAAGTATAAAAAATTATTTATTGAGCAACATGAACGCTTCGTGATGCTTTTTGATCCAGTTCTTGTTCTCATTGAATAATGTTCACGAATTACCTTGAGGCGTGAGAACACCTTCACATTGTGATGCCTGGATGTTAGAAGAAAAGATGTAACCATGTCATCATTTTTGAACTTTTTTGTCCAATACATAGAAAAGTTACTCACGAAATAATGAATGAGAAATGCTGAAAAAAGCACCAACAAAACCATTTTGAATGAAAACGAATTTTGGTAATTTCCAACAAAATCGATCACTTTTTTAAGACGTAATGCTTTCATTCATTGCTACGTGTTTTTATACTGTCCAAAATTGAAAATGTCTCATTTCATTTCAAAATGAATGAAAAAATGCTGTAAAATATTTTTTTTTATTCAAAACGAATGATACAATTAAATAATATACTTGTAAATTGTAGAAATGTTTAACATTTGTATAATCGCCAAAGTTATTACAATAAAACCAATGAGACTCTTTATTCTCTTACAGAAAATATTTTCGCTTACTTATAGCTATATGTAACACACACGTTTTGTAGTGACAACTGTTTTTGAGAAGTAAAAGAATGTTTCATGCCGAGTTTCAAGCGAACAAAAATTTGTTTTGACGTAATTGGATTTGAAATTGATGAGGAGAATCGCATTTGCAGCTTTTTGAAAAATTGCCGCATAGGAAACGATAAAAAACCTTATTTCTCTGAAGAAAAAAAAAGCCAATAATTCGTGCATTCGACGATGCCTCGAGACATTTGGCCGATAGATTTTTACAACTATGGTTGTAGTTTGTGGTGTACGTGCTCGAGAGATAAAACAAATAAAAGAAAATCAAGCGAATCGCATTCATGAAATGTTCAAAAATCAAGTCAATCGGTGGATTTATGCTTTCTGTTTTTGTTGTTGGTATTCGATTTTTTGCTTCTTGTTTTCCTTCATTTGTCGAGTTTTCTTTTGCACTGCAGCTTTTTTTCCTCTTGCTTTCTTTACGACCTTAATGCAGCATTATATAAAATCGTCGAGCTGATTGAAGAATAATATTTGGGACATGAAACTTTTCTGCTGCTACGTTTCTTTTTATCCTCATTCCATTTTGGCCGAATGCTGTTTTTTCCGTCGCCTTGTCTTTTCCAGAATTTTTCATTACATTTTTTTTTCTTGCTTTCGCCATAGATTTTTCGTATATCCATTGAGAGATGTTTCTATCTTTATCTCCAACACTGTCAATCCATCTTTTAGTCTCTTTCCGCAACTCATAGAGTCCCATAGTTTTCATATTGATGGAAATAATGATAAACCAAAAAGCGTTGGCTGTAGCATGTGGGCAAATGCTCTCCCTCTCGTTCGATGGAAATGAGGGAACCACAGCAACATCAGTAGCAAACAAGCCGAAATCAAAGACATCGACGATGAATTATAATCAAAAAGAAATGCATGATGGAAAAAGTTTTTCTTTCCCATCTTTAATTTTCATTTTTGACTTTGGGTACTTTGCGTTCGGTCAAGTTTGTGGATTTTTCTCTCTCTCTCTTTTACACACATACACATTCATAGTTGCATCATTTGTGGGAACTTAAAACGGTATTGCGAGAGTTTTCAGAAGAATAGAAAACTTTGTGGGTGATTCATTTAAAGAGTATGTATCACAGAAGCATGTATTTTATGGCGCTGATGAATCGATGGTGGACTGACCTTTTGTGTAGGCATGTGTTTTTAAACTAAAAACATGCAACTAATATAAAATTAATGAATAATGATGGATACATGATGCGATATCTGTGATGATGAGACGACGACCAAAAATGGATTGTGTTGCCAGCGCATAAACTTAAAATAGCATTTCGAAAAAAAGACACATCCACATACAACAACAATGGTAAGCACAATAACAAACATTTCGCATCGTATGTGTTGGTGTAGATCGTTCACAATTTCAACACGAACCAATTTTGATGAAGTAAACGTATGCAGATAATGGTAAACGAATTTATGTGCGATGCATCGACAAGTTTGTCACCCATAGAAATTGCAAGGAAACTGGAACAGTTTCTGCATAGAATTTCTAATCTCTAAATAAAAACCATACGGTATGGGGTAGACAGAGTGCCATATACACCAAACGAATAAGGTTAATTTAAGAAATATGCCAGCTCCATTTCTTCCCTCCCATAAAACGTTTCATATTCCATTTTAAATATATACAGTTGCAGGCAGAAGATATTTACTGTACACTACGTTTGAATACATTCAGGTAGAGTGATGCGTGTTTTTCTTTCTTAAATATATGTCAAACAAAACGACAACTGTTCTACATAGAGTTTATTTATCACAAAATGATTTGAAGATTATTAAAAGAAGACTATATTCCCACAGTTTAGAGAAAAATTGAGCTTTCACTAAATGTCAATGTCCAAAATCGTGGGAAAATCCAATATTGCTGACTAAAATGTATGATTACACTTCATTTCAAATAAAAATGTGTTTACAACGTAATATATGTGAACAAAATTGTAGCCGCTTTCGTGTTCAATTTATGCTGCAGCAACTGTTGCAACGGTTCCAATAGCTCTAATAGCTTGTGCTGCATTCTGAAATCTTTGAACCGATTTGGTTAGTTTTCCAGCTTTTTTGAGTAATTTCTTCAATCTATGACTTCTCGCATCAACAATGACCATATTCACTACCTGAAACATGAACAATGAACCAAAGATAACATTTCAATAAAAAATTATTCAACTTACGAATAGCAAAACAATAATAAAGACGATATTTTTGACTACATTCATAGTAAAGAACGTATTCTAATAAAAATGTGCGAAAGTGACTGTCAGCCAACCTATTTATTGCGACAATTTATACGTTTTCATATTGACCGACTTCATGGACGCGCATTCAAGTGTTTATTAAGGTTTTTTTTAAGTTTAACGGAATTCATTTGAACACTTTTATTGCAAATTCATGTTTCTTCTGTGTTAATTAAAAATTCTGCGGAAATAATAAAGAAAAAAACATACATTTTCAGACATGCAACTTTTTATTGTGCAAGTGTCGATTTATTTTTAAAGTATGAATCATCATCAATTGTTGTAGCAATGAAATTCAGCTGATTTCAATCTTGTTTCTCTTTATTCTTTCGTGGTGATGATTTTGATGACTTTTTCGTTGAAATCACATCCAAATGATCGGTAGCACGGTTATCAACACTATTTCCCATTCGGTTCTTGAGCGTCTTACATTCCTTGGCATTGTCAGCGTTCACAAATGCACAGCCCAATATCTAATTTAAAATTTATTTAATTTATTTGTTTGCAGAGAATTTGCTGCTTTTTATTATACTCACCAAGAAAATGGCAACTAGGAGGAATGCGTACTTTATGAAATTCATTTTAAGTAATTTTGGATTTCTTCCGACAAGAATATCTCGAGGAAAAGACTGATGCGGTATTGAGAGACTTGCAGACATTTTATACGTTTTTGAACTTAAAGCGCTTCTTGGTTAAATAAATAAATAATTGACGCACAACATTTATTTGCATGTCGATTCAATTAATGCGCATTTTCAAACAGTTGGTAAAATGACGCAACAAGCAAGCAACATCAAAACGTACTTTTAAGACCGATTTGATCCAAAATAATCAGATAATCGAGCTTTTGACATTCAAATGTTGTTTTATTGAAATATGCCTGAAGTTATAATATCCAATTTTGTCTACGGATTTTGCAATCGACAATATCTTTGTCGTGTAACGAATTGCACCAACCCCGCCTATGAAACTACGTCACATGAGTTTTTTATAAACTTTCTACAATACTAAAACTTATCGGAGAGATTTCTATTTGAAGTCAGTAATAGTTTTCTAGTATCACGGGGGACGGCAGTCCCCCAAGTGACGCAATACCCCCATACATATGAAATATGTATATTTTGCGTCACTCTATATATACGTTAAAGACATGAAAATCTAGACCGCTGACTTTTGGAAAGGGGTTTTTACATATTTTAGTAGTGCTCGGGCACCAAAATAAGAATCCGCAAAAAAATTTAAAAAAATTCAAAATTTGGCCGCCAGGTGGCATTTTGAAAGAATCGCTGAAAATTCCTTTTTCTCAATTTTTGACCACCGACATGCTTTTTTCGAATTTATTTTTTTACATTTTCGGATTCTAGGGACTGCGTAGATAATGTTAAAAAAAATATCATAACGATCGCTTGAAAAGTGGATTAAATATGGTCATTTTACCAAAAATGGCCAAAAACCTCAAAATTGGTCGCTTGGGGTGTTTGTATGTCCTCTTTTTTTTCCGTAGTTTTTGAAAAAACATTTTTTTTGTAATTTTTATTGAAAGTAGATGGAAAACTGAGAATACATGTGCTTTTGAAATTTTCGATTTCGTCTCCCATATCTCTTGGGCCTGGGGTCGAACATTTTTGGGAGGCCCTTTTTGAGTTTTTCATCAATTGGATATTTTTCTGGCCATCTGAAAGGTAATTCAATGATTTATACGTCGTTGGAAAGGTACAAGACTCACCTTTCTAAATCCAAAGTCAGAATGGAAAAATTTTCAAAAATGTCCACGAGATGGCGTGTTATGTGACATTTTCGGCGAAAAATGACCATGACTTTTTTTACGTAATCCAAATTTAAAAAAAAATGTGTCTATGAAAAATATCAAAAAACTAGGAGTTTGTTGGGGACCAAATATGTGATGATTTGGCGTATGTGTCATATCTAGGAAAATTCGTATTAAAAAAAAATCGCATCCCGAAGTTGAAATTTTTTTTCGGGCAATTTTCTATTTTTCGGCCATTTTTGATCACAGGTAGATGGGGTATTTCTCAATAAAACAAAATTTTCTTGATTCACTTCAATTGGACAAAAAAAAAATTGATTCACTTCTTATTGAAATTTTTTTTAGGTTTCGTTTTAAAATAGCAATTTTTCGAGAAGTAGTTTTTATTCTACCCCATTCAAATGTTACTTGTTCACGTCAAACGTCTTCACTTATTAGAGAAAAATATAATCGTTTGCATATGTTAGTATTGGTTGACGTCAATTTCTAAATATCGTAATTTTATGAATCCAGAAAAAGTAAATCGGCAATTCCATATGAAAGCGTTCAGATTTTTGCAGGTATAGTCTCCGAAATTTAGTAAGGGGATGCCCCGGTGGTTGGTATGGTTCATGGGTTGGTATTTTTGAAATCGGTCGAGTCGTTTCTGATATGAAGCTCATACAAAAAAGTGCCTTTTTCAGTTTTCTCAAAAATTACACCCCCTCTATTTTCCAACCAGGTGACCCCGATCAGGCTGAAATTTTTTTTCTTAGTTTTTTGCCAAAACAAGCTTGTATGCCAATTTTGAGTGAAATCGGAGACTATACCTGCAAAAATCCGAACGCTTTCATATGGAATTGCCGATTTACTTTTTCTGGATTCATAAAATTACGATATTTAGAAATTGACGTCAACCAATACTAACATATGCAAACGATTATATTTTTCTCTAATAAGTGAAGACGTTTGACGTGAACAAGTCACGTTTGAAATGATACACGTGGACTTTTACGTATCAAAAAGTACCACTCATTTACATTTAAATAAATTCTAATCTTAGTTGAAAAATGATGCTCAGTTACTATGAGTCTTTTCATGTGTATTTTTTCAGAATCGACAAACCTTGCATCCCAATCAAAGCTGTCCACGAACACCAACGAACGAACCGTTCGTTCGTAGAAAATGAATTGTTCGGATTGTTCGTTCGTATGTTCGTACGAACAATGAGAAAACTTAGTTTTTTTTTTTCAAAACAAGCTTGTATGCCAATTTTGAGCGAAATCGGAGACTATGCCTGCAAAAATCTGGACGCTTTCATAAGAAATTGCCGAAATATCTGTCACGTTATTTACGCATGAAACAAATTTTAACGCAAAGTCAAATAAGGTACAATTTTACGGTTGAACTTAGGGTTGTCATTTCCAACGTCACCAATTAAAGATAACATAGATGTAATCTATATATATTATAATATATTGTAACGAAGGGTATCAAAAAGTCTAGTATAGTTTTCTGACATAAAGCAAAAAAAAAAGTTACTTGTTAGAGTGGCTCTTGGTCTATTCGTATGTTGAACATGTGTTTTTTCTTTACTTTGATTTTCTATTACAATGTTATTTGAATTATGTTTTACTACAATGTTGTTTAATTCAATATAAAGATTTATTTTAACAAAAACCAAATATTTGTTATTAAACAAAATTCAAATATTTGCACCTTAAATTGGTCGAATGGTGCGTGGTCAAATTGATTAACTAGTTTTGCGTATCTTCTTAATTCAGAACATCTACAAATAAAACGATTTTATTAACCTAAATCTGACAAACTTTTTATAGTGTTTTGTGTAAATTTACTTCGATTTGGAAATTAGTTAAAAGCGGCTCGTTTTTCACATTAGATCATCATTCGAGATTTGTTTCAATCACAAATACTCAAAATGTTGTTCCGAATCTTACTTGTAGTCGCTGTAACTTTACTTGTAAGTTGAGTTGGAATTTAAAGTTTTAAGAAGAAATTTTTAAGAAAGAGAGAAAGTTTTTCAAATTTACGTTTAAATTATTTTCTTTTATTAAAAGGTAAACATTTCCGAAAATTCGGAAGTGAATGCAAGCGCAATTGCCATAAGTGATGCGGAGCCCTTAACAGATCCAATCGCTGGAGCAAATCCAGAACCAATTGCTGAACCCGAAATTTTTAACCTTTTCCGTCGTAAAAAAGCAACAACAGCAGCATCAACTACAACAAATAAAAAGCGCATCACGTACATTATCCTTCCAGCAAAGAAAACAAGTAGCAGTGGTGGTAAACGACAGAAACGCAGATGCAGACGACGATCAACAACGGTTGCAAGTACAGCTAGCACAAGTACGGCTAGCACTGTCTCGACCGCAAGTACAGCTTCAACAGGTACACGCTTAACGCTATTCAATGATTTAAAAATGGTAAAATAATATAAATTTCTTTGCAGCTTCAACAGCATCCACATAGGAAGCATCATGAGCTTCAAAACTTGCTCAGCCAAATGGAACAGCAATTTTTCCGAAACTCAGAGTCAATTGGAGAAAATACAGCTTTTAATAGGATAGCTTTTATTTATTTCAGTTTTTCTTTGCATATGTTAACTTTTTAGTAAAAATTCAATAAAAACAGCAAACTTATGAAAATGGATGATATCTCTATCTTAATATCGGAAGCAAATATTTTAGTCCGTTATCTTCTTGAAGGCCTTTTTTATTTTTTTCCATTTCTTGAGAATCTTTTTTAATGGACTTTTGGCATCTACAACACCTATATCTTGAATCTAAAAAGATGCATCAATATTTTGAGTTATTCAATCGTATACGATATAGTGGTATACCACTAGATCATTAGTACATTATTTGATCTACTCACCAAAAGTAAAACTAAAACCAAGAAAGAAAATTTGATCAAATTCATGACAAATGAGATTCTTTTACTAAGAACAGTTGATGTAAAGTGTCTACAAGGTTCTTTTTTCAAATAATTTATACGATTTCCATTGACGCATGTTTCACGTATTAGCAACGCAAATTTCATGTAAAATACACACATTTCAAATTTTAAACACAGAAAACAAATTAGATATTAAAAAACGAATGAAGCGAGCAAAATGGTTGGTATCTTTGAATTTCTCAAGTTTGCTTGATGTAAAAGCGGTTGTAAAACAGACAACCACGACTTTGGTAAAACAACTTTTGAAACCAAGATTTGCCGTTGGAAAGTGCTGCCTGATATTGCTGAAAACGGAATAGCCTTCTTTGCCTTTTTCAGTGAATTCTATACTAAAATATGATTTTTCTTCATTTATTTACTACGCAAAACCAGACATTACCAGGTATTTTCAGTGAGGCGAATTATCTCAAACAGCTATCGTCAGGCACTGAAATGAAATGACAGCAATAGAAGTGATTGTTATATTGATGAATGGAAGTGTTTTTATATCTAAAACAATCACTTCTATTGTTTTCACTCCCTTTTAGCGCCTATGGCGATAGCTGCCTGAGTTGATTCATCTGGCTGAACATATTTCAATATAATTATAATGTCTGCGATGTACTCTTGAAATGTTCATTCCAAAATTGTTATGAAATTGAAATGTCTACTAAAAATTTAGTTTTGACGTTTGAGATCCTTTTTGAATATGTTTGACCTATCCTTTCTATATTGATTCAAGATATTAGGCAAAATATTTAAATCGATATATATGAACTCGATCAATGCTCATCTGAGCTCAAAATCGTATTTAAACATTTGAAATAGTTCGTTAATTGAACATGTGCTTTTTATTTATTTTGAGTTTTTGAAACAGAAGCATTTGCTTTATTTGCATTCTATAAAGTTATAGCTGTGCTTCAACTATTTTCGACTCCGATTTATGTCGTTTTAATTCGAAACGGAGATTTTAAATAAAAGTCAAATATTTGCACTTTGGTCAAATGTTGCGTGGTCAGTTTTTTAGTTTACCTTCTTAATTCAGAACATGTACACAGAAAACATTTTTATTGACCTAAATCTGACTGTTTAGATAGTGTTTTGAGTAAATTTTCTTCGGTTTGAAAATGATTTAAAAGCGGCGTGTTAGCCACAATGGATCATCATTCGAAAAGATTTGTTTCAATCGCAAATACTCCAAACTCAAAATGTTGTTCCGATTCTTACTTGTAGTCGCTGTTACTTTGCTCGTAAGTTAAATTGGGTAGAAAACAAAAAAAAATCGAAAATTAAATAAGAAATTTAATTCAATTCGCTTTTAAATTCTTTTCTTTCACTAAAAGGTAAACATTTCCGAAAATTCGGAAGTGAATGCAAGCGCAATTGCGATAAGTGAAGCAGAGGCTCTAGCAGACCCAATTGCTGAGCCGATCGCCGAAGCAGATCCAGAACCAATCGCTGAACCAGAGCCACTTTTTGGTCTCAAAAATAAAAAAGCAACCACAGCCTCATCTTCAAAAATCACGAAGAGGATCACATATATTATTAGACAGAAAAGTAACAAAAAAAGACCAAGCGGTAGTTGCAAATGTAAACGATGCTGTAAATCAAGCACCGCAAGCACCGCAAGCACAGCAGGCACAGCTAGTACAGCTAGCACAGCTAGTACCGCTAGCACCGCTAGCACCGCAAGCACTGCTTCCACAGGTAAATGTTTAAAACATTATGTTTTATGCTTTATAATGGTTTACAACTAATTAAATAATCTTAATTTCTTTGCAGCTTCAACATAGACACGCAAAGCTCCTTCGAGTTTTCGACTATTTTGGAGAGACTACGACTTTTAATTGGACATTCTCTTATTTATTCCATTTTTGCTTTACATTTGTTAACTCATCACCAAAATTGAAATAAAAACAGCACAATTGAAAAAAAAGAATGCATTTTTCATTAATCGCACAAAAATGGCAAAACATATTTATTATGTGATTGTTTATTTATTCATTTATTATTTACGAAATTTTTTTCAAAAATAGTTGAGAGAAATTTAAAAATCTTATCAAATTTAAATTTTTGATCAATTCTGCCAAAAACTAAAATATTAACAGAGACAACTATGAACACATTTTACTTTTCCGCACTCCTAGTGTAGGGAAGGTATTGTATTAGGCCAAAAAATTAAAGTCATCCCAAAACATGTTTTCTATGCATATTTAATATAGAAAACACGATTGGAGATGATTTGATGGGGCATATTAATGTGCGTCGCTGTGTGTGATGTGTCCTGTGTCCTGTGACCTGTGTCCTGTGTCCTGTGTCCTGTGGCGTGTTGCCAAAATTTGTTAACACGATAAATCCTCTTCCAAAAACTCAATTCAAATTCTGACTTTGCAGGATGATTTGGGACTATTAGGAGACGTGCTGATTAGTTTTTGAGCAATATCTGTTGTACCGTAATGATCTGAAACTTTGAACAGGCTATTTTTTGGATTGAAATTTCTTTAAACTTGGTGTGATTATTTATTTTGATAATAAAATAATATTCACAAGTTTTCACGGTAATTTAAGTTACTGCAACCATACAAAGACCATGATTTCAGTTTATTCCCAAAATTTCGGTTGCATGCGGAAAAGTCAGCTTGCGTACGTAAGCCTCTTTATTTTAAGTAATTTTGGAAAATAAACCAGGTTATTATCGTTGAAGAAAATATTGTTTATCTTTTTTCGTTCAAAAATTAAAATATGTACGAACAGGTTAGAAAAAATTAGAAAATGCAGAAATTTCTGAGGGTGTAAAAATGATAAAAAACGAAGACATTCTGATTTTTTTCGTGACAATTGCCTAAATGTTTTTATTTCGATGAAATGCGTAATTTCCTCGAAAGAAAATGCGTGAATAACTATTTCCTTCGTTCATAGTGAATGGAAATGTATTCTCATAGTAAAATGTAAATCGGAGAAAATTTAAATCAATTTTTCATATTCCGAGGAAAAATCTTGAAAAATAAGTAAAATTTTGACTCACATAAGAAACTTGGTCTAAAGTGTAAGTTCGGTTGATTTTTGCTGATATTACAATTACAGCTATATATTACAATGCTTTTAAATGTGATAAAGTACATTAATTGTCGATACATTTTAGCGCTGTTCGCATTATAATGCGATTTTACCTAAGGTATACCTTCATATTACCGAGTCTTGATCCCATATAACTGTACATATTGTAAATTCCTTGTGAGCATGAAAAAAGACTTTATTGTGAAATTTGACTTCAAATATTTCTTGAGGATTGATCAATACGTTTAAATTTCAGTATCTTTTTGAATTATTATTGTTTCGTTTAGTGGCAATTCTATTGATATTTCTGCTGTTCACTTCTCTCATTTCCATCAATATGGTTTATTTTCTTACCAAACAAGTGTATTTTATTTATAATTTGTACTTTACTACTGGACCATCTCCGATTTATGTGATTTAATTCGAAACAAAGCCGAGATTTTTTTTCAACAAAAATCAAATATTTGTTTGATAGAACAAATATTTACATAGTTGGTCGAAATGTATGCGGTCAATTTGCTTAACTAGTTTTGCGAATCTCCTAAATTTAGTATATGTACACTTAGATGTGCACACAAAACACTTTAATTAACCTAAATCTGACAAACTGTTTATAGTGTTTTGAGTAAACTTAGTTCGATTTGAAAATGATTTAAAAGCGGCTCGTTTTTCACATTAGATCATCATTCGAGATTTGTTTCAATCACAAATACTCCAAACTCAAAATGTTGTTCCGAATCTTACTTGTAGTCGCTGTTACTTTGCTTGTAAGTTGAGTTGGAATTTAAAGTTTTGAGAAGAATTTTTGAAGAGTGAAAGTTTTTTTGAAATTGACGTTTTAATTATTTTTTTCCATTAAAAGGTAAACATTTCCGAAAATTCGGAAGTGAAAGCAAGCGCAATTGCGATAAGTGAAGCAGAAGCTCTAGCAGACCCAATCGCTGAGCCGATCGCCGAAGCAGATCCAGAACCAATCGCTGAACCGGAGCCACTTTTTGGTCTCAAAAGTAAAAAAGCAACCACAGCCTCATCTTCAAAAATCACGAAGAGGATTACATATATCATTACACAGAAGAGTAACAAAAAAAGATCGAAAAGTCATAAACGGCCACGTAGATGTCGACGATGCCGTAAATCAAGCAGAGCTAGCACAGCAAGCACAGCTTCAACAGGTAAATGTTTAATGCTTTATAATGAATTACAAGTAGTAAAATAAGAACAATTTCTTTGCAGCCTCAACAGCCTCAACTGCTTCAACTGCCTCAACAGCCTCAACTGCTTCAACAGCTTCAACATAAACAACCGATACAGCTTCATAGGTTTCGACATTTGCTTGACCGAATGGAAGAGCAATTTTTGCCAAACTCGGATATTTTTGAACAGAATTCATCCTTTAATTGGACGTATTTTTATTTACTTGAAATTTATTTTCATATTTTACCTCATTAATAAAATTCAAACAAAATGTAATAATGCTTTACGAAAAAGAAATGCATTTTTATTGATTGTTGAATCTTTGGAAGCAATTTTGATTGAATTGATTCTTATTTTACAAAATGAAAATTCAAAAGCTGATCTCGTAACTCGTGTTAGAACTAGAACCTGCTTTTTTTCTTTGTTTTGACTTTGGTTCTTTTCTTTCTTATTTCCACCAGTCCATTTTGAGAAGGTCTCCTTTGAAGTCTTATAAAGACTATTCAGTGCGTTAGTGATTTTGTGTACGCCAAGACCGCTCTTGGTTTCTTTCTTGCTCTTAGCATTTTCAATTTCTTTTTTATCGTCTGCATTTACAATTCCACAGTCGAGTATCTGAAATGAAGCGTTTATTAGATACATTTCAAATATCATTTTCCACAAAAAGTTTCAGTTAAAATTCAGACCTACCATGTACAGAAAAACAAATACAAAAGCGTACTTAAGCAAAATCATTATCGATTCATATTATTTAAATTAACTAGAAGAACTGATACTGTTGTAAAAAATTAGAAATTTTTTTACTAGGTTGAAGTTCATGGTGAATATTACACAGTCAATTTTGTTTTTGAAAAACGTGTACAATGGAGTATATAATATTAATTATGGCATAGGTGTTTACCTTATTGGATTATTGTTTACCTTATACAGTTGTATCTTAAAAATAATGATAATAAGTAACAGAGTAAATGTAAAAAGTTACGTAAAAAATATTGGCAGAATATCAGAACATAACTTGCAATAAAACTTCCATTGACGCACTTTATTTATTTGCTACGCAAAACATTTTCAATTCGAATTCAAACGTTGTCATGACTCGTATTCGATTTAATCATTGGTATATAAATACCAATAATAATAATATCATAAGACAACCGAATATTTCTGCTCTTTAAAATCAACAAGAAGAAGTAGAAAAATAGAGAAAAAAAAAACAGAAAACATACAGACACCAGCTGTTTTTTATTGTCAATTTTAGTATGAAGGATTCATTAATACATTTAATATTGGCTTTGAATATGATTGCAAAACAATTCTTCTAATGATGGTTTCCCGGTTGATTGTTATAACCGTTCTGTGGACCGTTCTGTTGCCCATAGCGTTGCTGATAATTCGGCTGTTGATAGTTTTGTTGTTCATTTAGTTTTTGATGATTTTTTTTATTTCCGCCTCTAATTTTTGACCAGCCATTCTTGAACATATTTGTAATTGATTGTATTCCGAAGCCACCATTTCCTTTATTATTCTTTTCTTTTTTATCCTTTTTGTCAGCATCAACCAAACTGCACCCAAGTATCTAAAAACAATTTATTCATTTGAAAAATGTATGGAAAAAGACTTTTATCAAATGTTTATTCACCATCAACAATACGACGAAGAAAAATGTGTATTTAACCAAATTCATGGTGAATGTCTTGTCTTGAATTCTGTTCCGTAAAGAGTCACTAAAAAGACTGATGCCGTTTTGAAGACATGGCGGAAATTTATACTTTTACACAGTTTTTTCGGTAACATAGGACAATTGTCAATTTTTTATCGATTTAATTATTGCGAAATAATTAACACATTTGCTGCTTTCAGTGCGAAAAATGTTATTAGTTTTTTTCAGGGCCTTTGCAAGGCATATTAGCGCCCCGCCCGCAATTATGTTGTAAATAGATTTCGTCCCAGGTTCTGATGAGACCCTGACATGTCATCATCAACACGTGCCGATCATTCAGAGCAATTAAAACTTAATTTGAAATTCGAAATGTAAAACTATAATATATTGGAACATTTTGATACTTCAACTCGGTATTGATATTTATTTAATAGAGACATATATGTAATGAATTATTGTCTTATTGCGGAAATTTTAATTTACCACAAACAGGGTGTTCTTCATTCGTTTGGCATCGAAAGCGAGCATGAAATGAAATAAGAAAATTAACGATTTTTAAAAAGTAAATATGAAAACATTCAAATTATCATAAATCCAATTAAAATTATCAATTGTAAATTTACGTCATTGAATTCTCATCGAGATAAACTATGTCTTATTCGGCTTGATTTGAAAGCACCATTTTTAGAAACTGAAAATTATCAATATTCGGCTCGTCACGGAACACATTTCACAAATTCTGTATTATCATGGTCATTATGATTAACTAGTTTTTTTTCTAAACTATTCAGAGCATGTAAACAGACACTACTTTAAATGACACACAAATTGAGCAAACTGATAAACATAATCTTTTGAGAATTTTTCTTTGTCGAATCGAAAAGACTTTCAAACGATCGAAATCATTTACAAGATCAGTCTTAATCATGATTTCTTTGTATCTGAGTGACAATGTTACCGCGAGTTGTGCTTTTAATTTCAATTATTTTACTTGTAAGTCGAATTTACGGAACATATTAAAATGTTGAGTTGAATATGATTAATTGGTTGATTTTATCAAAAGGTAAATATTTCCGAAAAGTCGAATGTGAACGGAAATGCTGTCGCCAACAGTGAAGCAAAGAGTTTATCGGATGTAAATGGGCCAAATCCAGAACCTGAAGCTCTTGCCATCCCCAATGCATTAGCATTTTTTAAAAAACGACGACAACGTCAAAGAGGCAGAATTGTTGTGTATAAATCAAGAAAACGAAGATGTAAAAATTGTCAACGAAAAAGAAAATGTAGACGGTGTCGTCGTCGAAAGCGTTGCTATCGTTGCCGGAGAAGAAGGTATTTTTAGCCCGAATTATTGTATACATTTTTGAATATTACATATTTAAATTTTAGAACAACTGCATCGACTGCATCTACTGCTTCGACAGAATCTACTGCTTCAACAGCATCTACTGCTTCGACAGCATCAACAGGTGAGCGCTTATTGATGTTGCAACAAATTTCTTGTTGGTTCAATAATTATGAATTTTATTTTTAGCTTCTACAGCATCCACAGCATCTACAGCAAGAACTTCCTCCACTGCAAATAATTAAATGCAATTAAATTTTTCATGAAGATGTATATTTGAAATTAGAATAAAAACTACTTCTCGAAAAATGTTTAAACACGAAACCAAAAAAAACTTTCAATGAAAAGTGAACCAATTTTTTTTTGTCCAATTGAAGTGAAAAAAAAAAGTTCATTTTACTGTATTTTACACTGAAAAACCGAGTGAAATTTTTTTTTGGTTCACTTTTATTGAACAAAATTTTTTTGGTTCACTTCAATTGGTCAAAAAAATTGGTTCACTTTTTATTGAACATTTTTTTAGGTTTCGTTTTCAAATACCAATTTTTCGAGAAGTAGTTTTTAGAAAAAGATAAATAAAAATGTCATGTAATTCATAATATCAACTCATTTGCTATCTAACTTTCTATCAGCGCTATGGAGATTCCAACTTATGGTTTATGGATTTCATAAACTTGAATTTTATTAATCCTGTAAAAACTTATGAAAAACGAGATAAAATTGACCACAGTAAAAATGATGGGAACTACAGTTTGTATAATATAAAGAGTCGTTGTTTCGTTTTAAATCCCTGGCTTGTTTTTCTGCGTATCACTTTTTGTCAATCAACACATGTGTAATAAATTTATTTAATTGTTTTTCTTTCGACTGAATTTAGAACATGTAAATAGTAAATATAAACAAACTGATCAAACTGTACATAATCTTTTGGGTTAGCTTCTGCAATGATTAAAAACCAAAGCCTCAAAAAAATTGTTTTATTAATCACAATTTGTGATGATTCGCCGTTCGGCTTGACCATGAAACATGTACAGAAATGTTGCTGCATATTTCACTTGTAATTTCTCTAACATTTATAGTAAGTTTATTTGAAAATAGATTTTCAATAAAATAATGTTGAATAATGTCAAATTTTGTAATTGTGTATTTGGTTTTAAGGTTAACATTTCAGAAAAATCGAACATCACAGCAAATGCAATCGCCAAAAGTGAAGCCAAGGGTTTATCAAACCCAGCGGGAGAGCCGTTTGGTTATCCAGAACCCGCAGCTTTAGCATTACCTCTGGCTAAACGACGACGAAAACGACGGCGTCAGCGACGACGTAAACGACGTAAACGACAACAACAGAGACGACGAGTGCAAAGACGACGAGTGCAAAGACGACGATTAACTCAAAGAACAAACTCAATTTCACCGAAGAAAAAACGAATTCGTTATATTGTTTCAAATAAGAAAAAATGTTTATCTTGTAGCAAACTGAAGAAGAAGTGCCAAAAAAGTCGTCGAAGGAAAAAGAGACAAAAAGCGAAAAAACGCCAACGAAAACGCATACAGATACGCCGAAGAAGATTTTCCTCGACTAGATCCACAAGTTCAACTATCTCCACTAGTTCAACAAGTTCAACGAGCTCGACTTCTAGCACTCCAACAACATGATTTACAGGTAAATGTTAGAATGGAAATGCAACATCTTCCTAATCGACATATAACTTGGATTATATTCTTAAACCAATTAATGTTTCGTTTATTGGTTCAGAAAATGAATGGGATAACAATACATTCAATAATTATAGATTTTTTAATAATCATTCGAAATTTATTTATAAAAGTGAATTGAAGATTTTAAAGATTGTTTTCACTTGACAGAATTAATCATCATTTTGATTTTTATCGTTCCATTTTTGCAAATGTTTTTTAACCTTTTTCTTAATGCGTTGATCAAGTTCATCAACCGTCATATTTTCAATGGTGTTTCTGTTGCGCCCCTTTCCCTGGCTGTAATCATCTCTTTGATTTCCGTCGTTACTCATCCAATTCTGATAGCTCCGATTGTTCTCTCCGTATCCCCGATATTGGCTATTCTTCCGATTCTTTGCATTTTTTCTATTCATTACAAAATTGTTGGGAGAGCTGCTTTCACCGATGAATTGACCATAGCCAGGATATCTGTTTTCACCTTTTCTTCCTCTTTTGTTTATCTTTTGTCGTTTGTTTTTGCTGCCCTTTTTCTCCTTGTTCTTGCTATTTCCATTGAAATCATATAGCCTTTTGTTGCTGCCACCATAATTGTCCAACGCATTGTCCTCGTAATTGCCACTTTGATTTTTCGATTCTGCATAGTCCAATATTACTATCTAAATTTTGAAGTAGAACTTATAGAAAAATATTGTTTAAATTTTTAAAAATTTAAAATTACCAAGAATAATGCGAGGACAAAAAGAGAAAATTTAAGCTTCATTTTGTAGCTTCTTTCAATTGGTTCTTTCAGTTGTTTCTTTCAGTTGTTCACGATTCAAATTTTAAAATGTAATTGTCATCCTTAATTTTTAACAACGCTTATATACTATCATCAGACATGTAATTTACCAGCAAAATATTCATTATTGCCGATGATGATGACGCAATTGTTAATTACGAGTCGTAATTTACGACATTATGAATTGATGGCATTGGTAAGAAAGTCGAAATTGAACACTTTTAATATACGTAATTACTTCAGAAAAGTTCTTATTAATTTCGGTGCTTTCCTTAAGTCAACGATAACAAGTGGCTATTAACAACACATGATACTTTTCATATCAGGTAAAAGAAATCTAATTCGTCATTCGATCTAACTAGGTCGACTTTTTTTTATTTTTGAAAAATAAATAAAGGAAATATTTCTTTGGGGAAGTTAGAATAAGTTATGTCATGGTCATGGCAAAAGCCTTTTTTAATAACAAAAACGTACATTGTGCTATGAAGCTTTTTATTGAACTTTATATTTTTGAAAAACAAGAATATGAATAAATTGAAAGCCATTACGTTAAACTCATACAGTATTCCAAAATTATCAACAAAACTTTCATACCCAAAAAAAATTTGATGAAAAATTTACATATAATTCGTTTATGGTTAAAAATGACATCGTTTACATATTTGAATATGTAAAAGTTGTGTGATAATTAAGTAATTCTTCACTGTATGTAACCTCTTGTCCTAAGGTATGTATTAAGAGCATCTTGAAAAGCAGCCGGAATTGTTTTTATGACATTTTGACCATTGTTATTATTATTATTGTTGTTGTTGGTAAACCCTCTGTCTTGTAAATACTGCCCGATTGCTGCTCTGGCTGCTGCACAAGGAAGCTTGTTTCCTGCATTTTGGCTGGTATTTGTTTGATTTCCATTTGCGCTTCCGTTTGTGGTTCCATTGGTGCTACCGTTTGTGGCTCCATTTGCGCCACCGTTTGTAGCTCCATTGGTGCTACCGTTTGTGGCTCCATTTGCGCCACCGTTTGTAGCTCCATTTACGCTGCCGTTTGTGGCTCCATTTACGCCACCGTTTGT